AGAACGTCAGGTTGAGAAACCTAAGCGAGTTCAGCTTTGTTTCCAAAATAGTGCTCTTTCACTTTAATCAGAGAGACGTAAAACAGGTTGCACTCTGCAAACTCAACCTAGAAACATTCTCATTATGTACAACACAGAGATGAATCACCACCACAGCAGATTTTAGTTCTTGTAAGAACTGCTTTGAAAGACTGGGGCTAGAACTGCAGGGTTTATGTTTCTTTCCCTTGGTGGTATGAAGGATAACAGAGCAAAATATCAGTGTGTTACATTTTCTACACCCCTCCCTCCCCCGTTTATTTTGAATTCAAACTATCCTTCCTAAAATTGCTGCACAATTCACTGCAGTGGCCAGTGTCTTAAAATGACCAGTCAGCAAGAACCTGTAGATAATTGTTGGTGTCTGCAGGCTGGCAATAAACATTTGTTTTTCTTTCCAGTGCTACTTGTGTATTTAACTTCAAGCCAGGAGGAAAATTTGGAGAAGTCTGTTCTTATTGATTAGACCAGAAGTAGTTCAGAACTCTCTGGGGTTGCTTTCAGAAAATATCACTCAAAGAGAGAGACCCAGTAGTTCATGTGGTTTGGAGGTACCAGATCAAGAAAAACATGAGAACATCACTGTGAATGTTTTCCCATGTTTTGAACCACATACACCAGAAACACAGAAATTTTCAAGGCATTACAGCTCTTTTTTTGAGGGCACCATTTTGAGCATGAACCATGGCAGGCTAAGGAAAGACTAGATCTGGTGGTTCAAAGTTTTGCCTCAACTTACTGCTGAGCAAGGAAGTTTATTTCCTTATGTGTGAAGCACAGACAGCGTTTACACTTTTGCAAACTGGGAAACACATGAAGGAGTAAAGTCAGGAAGGCGGGAAACGGGAGACACTCTTAGACCTTGATCTCCAATGAAGTCCATCAGTTTCCCTATGGCTGCAGTCAGCAACAGGATATTCAGAATGTGTTTAGATGATGCAATACAAGAGGTAGTCATGCTACCTCTAAACTGAGTTCGCTTTAACAGCAGAATAATGAAGCTGCATTATTATTGTATAGTGTCTCAGGTAATTATCTTGCTCATAAGCTGCAGTGAGCTCTGTAGTGGCGGTGGGTGGGCTCTTTCTGGTCTCTAAATTAGCTCGGAGTCACCCAACACAGCAGGGAGTTTTAGAAGGTAGGAACTTATTTTCATTTTCCAGTAGTCACATATTACTGCATTCACTGTGGGTAGTCTGGACTCTCACAAGTCATTACTGATTGACGTACAAAACACTGTAAATAGAAGCACTGTCTTTACTCTTCTTGAGATAGGCGTGAAAATGTGGGTTCCTTTTGCCTGTTTGGGGTAGCGAGGTCTTGTTTTAGAACAAAATTGCTCAGAAAATTGCCAGCTAGAAGGAGTTTCCGAGAGTGGACAGTGTGTAGGTTCCTACAAACCCTTTCACAGTGTTCATTGGCATTCTTTCAGCTGACAGAGGAGGTGAAAAAGGGACAAATAGGACCGGCACACAAGTGTTACAGGATCCTGCTGGTATTCTCTTGCATAAACACGTATTTCTTTTCTAACAAAGTACATTTTAACTCTTAAACAGCCAAATCATTACTGCCATTTTTGGGGGTCTGAGAAAACAAGTCTCACAAATTGCTGAATATTTTCACAGACTCAGCTTGATGTCCCATAACCTGCTTCTCCCTCCGTTCGTATTTTTGGTTTGATGACAGGTAGAGTAGATCCTTTCAGCTTTTAACTGCCTTCTCTCTAGAGTCAAATGCATTTTGAGCTGATGTTACACCTGTGATGACTATTCGGTCTGGATTCACATTTTTAAGAAAAGGCTTTGTAGTTAAAGCAATTTATTTGTGCTTTTGCTTTATGTTAAAGCAAAAAAGCCCACAACACTGCAAGATAAGAAAATACTTGGGACGAGATTAGCCACTTGCTTGCCAGTGTTTTCTGACCAGTTTAATTCTTCTAATTCTGGCATTTTTTAGGAATTGTAAGGCTTAGTTCTGTTGGTAAAGACACTAAGTTACTTTAGTGCTCCTGGTGGGTACAAGGAAATATAAACATCTCAGATATAGAAACAGTTGCAATTATTCCCGCACAAAGCTTTTGCTGCTTTTTAACCTAGAACGGTAAGGTGTTTGCACACTGTGGTCTTAGAGAATGGCTACTTTTTGTAAAGGACAGATGAAGTCAGGGTATTGTTCCTCAAAAAAATCCTGTGGTGACTCCTCCATGTAATGTTGCCTTACTTGGAGCTGCGTATTGGTTTTCTTCCAATGTTCAGTATTTTTTTTTCTTTTCTTTAGAAGTGAGAGTCACAAAATTGACTGATAGGTGATTAAGCAATGCATCCTAAAGATCTAAGCATCCTGAAACAAGCGTGTCTCTTCTTGCCATACAGCCAGTGCCTGGCGGGCTGGGCGTGCACGCAGTCTGCTTTCATGCAGCCACAGCATTTCTAACACTGCTGCACGAAAAACACCTGGGTGAGCCCGGCGGTGGAGGGAGATGGTGGCATGGGCACGGTGCCACCGCACGCGGCTGCCGCCACCCGGCACTGCGCCCTAAGCCCCCAGCCCAGGCGATGCTCCCACCCCGGGGGACGGCGCTCTGCCATCAGCTGCTCTTGGGAAGCAAGGCTGAGCTTTGGCAGACTCTCTGCTGCCCGCAGCAGAGGTGGTGAGACAAACCTCCCCTGGTCTTGTGGTGCTTCGGCTCTTCCCAGGTGGGCAGCTGCCCTATGAGCCTGATCTGGGGAAGGACACCCCTTTGCCCGGGGTTTTTGTACCTAACCACAACCAGTCGTGCACCTAATGAGGACCAGCACCTCTAGATGTCCTTGTCATTTCACCCTTCTGCCGCAAGTCACAATGCTTGTATCCAAGAGCAGTGAGGTCACTGCCACTGAGCAACTCCTCTTGTGGAGACGTGCCCCTTTTTTTTCTGTTTTAGAGGGATGGCAGAAAGGCTGGGAGCAGGAGCATCCTCAGCAGGGTAAATTGACCTGTGGCAGTACGAGAAATTCCTCTTCCTGGCTGTTTCCTTTGATACTCTGCCTGGGGTGCTGCCCTCCCACCTGCGCCCCCCCATTGCATGCTCTACCTCCGAGCCTCCTGTAAACTCCCCGAGAGGAGAGTATGGGCTAAAATACTGGGCTGGAAAATGAGATGTAGGCACATCTTTGCTGTCCCTTTCAGTCTTCTCAGGCAGCTGCCTGTGTAGAGCAAAAATAATACAGTTGAAAAGCCCTATAAGCAAACAGAAACTTTTCAGCGTAAGGAAGAAAAAGGACATGACATAAAACTGAAAATACAGTACAGTAGCTAAAATGGAGCAGGGATCATAAAGCAGGTGGGAATGGTGAAAAGCAAACAAAACAGGAAATTGGTTTTGATGGGCTCATGGGAAGAAAAGTAGAGCCGGAAAATCCTGATCTGTTTTTCTAGTTTAATAGCAGAGCTGGCATGGGGCCTGGGGGAAGAGAGGCTGAGCATCAAGGTGTCACTCCCCATGGACAGGATGGTGGCTTTCCTGCCTGCCTGATGCTGGCCAGGGGGAAGGTGGGACGCTCTGCGTTGTATTACCTGCATGCTGAAAGCAAACAGATTGGCAGGTCACTGGATATCAAAAATCTCGCTTTACTCAGTTCCAGAGGGAACTTTTACTGAACAGCGTGCACTACATTTAAGTTGAGTTATAATTATCACCAGGGTTGTTTGGGCTGTGATAATTTTTCGGCATTGCTGCTGTATACATTTGGTTAGAAGCCGACACCTTACAAACACATAGCATAGGCGAGGGGGTGAAGTCTGTAGATGCCCAGCAGAATTCAACTGCCTGCTCCATCAACATACAAATTTAACAAGTGTCAAAGTGGGCTTCTTACATTCAGAAGAGGAGACACTTTCATCTCTTTGAGCAGTAGTTGCCCCTTAAGACTTAAAATATTGAATAAATTATACCTTTTTTTTCAGTTGTTATGCCAACACTATGCTTAGATCTGACATGTTATAACATAAAGTTACTTAATTTGAAAATGAAAGTATTAATATCCTGAACAAGTTTTTTATAATGAAACTGTTCTGACTTTGGATCAAAAGCAGAGGTCAAATTT